GTTGGCGTCACGCGCACGGCGTGGCCGCGCACCTGCGTGGCGCACGCGTCGCGAGCGGCCGCCAGCCACGGCGCGGGCGGTGGGCAACGGGCTGACGCGTGCGGCATGGGCCGCCCATGTCAGCGCCACTGCCAGCGCCCGCCAACTCCGCTAACGACGACACTTGAGCCACGAAGCTAGCCACGGCGCTAGCGATGCCGCTACAGTCGCACCCTCGCCTCGTCTCGTACACGCTGATTCTCGTACTATAGTCGATTGATAGATTTTGTGTATCCGGGCGCGTCGACTTTTGCTAATTTCTTAGTCACCCTAAGTGCACTCTAAATTCTATTGCTGGAGGTACAGGTGATCTTTCCTCGCCAGTATGACGAGAATCCCACGCCGACCTAAACGTCAGGCGTTTAGGTATTTTCACGCCCCAACAGAGACCTCTTTTTCATCAGAGCAACCGGTCCAGCTGGTAAAACTCTAAGCCCTTCCCGACTTGGTGTCCGCTGGTGTATGTTACCAATTGGTTGTGTAGATGCATGTAAGTGATGTTTATATTAAGAATTTGAGGTCTAGGACAGGAGACGAAGGAAAGATCGTTCGCGGAACGGTGGGCCAAGTTTGTTAGGTACTTCTCCGGCCTTCGCCTAGGTTTTTGCATCGGGGAAACACAACAGAATACTATTCGAGCAGAGCTGCGGCCACCAGAATTCTCCTGAAAAGCAGTCAGCAGTTGTGAAAAAATTACGTAATACTGCCTAGAGCTTACCGGAACGAGCGACGTCTCCATCGTTGTGGTCTTTGCCGAATTCGGCCAACATGTGCGTCGGAAACGTCTGCCACACAACAGAGATGCCAACTCGTCCCGATTAGCCTAGATAATAACGACCGTTCCAATGTCGGAATGGGCATCTAGCAGTTACTGTTTTTCCGCGAATCATCCACATTCAGTCGTGATCAAATCGCATGAAACTACATACTGTTTAGCAATTGCGCCGGATATCGATTTCCGCCCCTCTGCTGCACCTTCTGCCCCGCCGTGGAAGTTACCATAAAGAAGTTGGCACTATGCTACCCGTCCCCAAGCTGGGATTCGAGAGTTATAGGATAGTAGAGGGTTTCACACCTCGCCGTCTTGCGCCCACCACGGGTCTAATAACAACAGTGGATTTCAAGAGACACCCCGCCGCGCCGCCAAACATACTCTCAAGCGAAGCCGCGGGTAGTCCCAGAAACTACTATTAGCCACTATATCTTGTTCACTAGTATTTATATACCCAGCAACGAGAAGTTGCCTGGATCTCTCTGAAACCTCAACTCGGCCAACACAATGCCAGTAGCTCACCCTCATTGGGTCTCTATCAACGCTGACGCTTAACGCGCGCCCCTCGTTTCTCACAGTCCAGAGATCGGTTCGCATCGCCACAAATGGGTAAATAACAGACACCGACTATCACAAGTGAGGACTTCTCTAGCCACATCAGATTATGAGCCTTCGCCGAATTGAGGGCTGTAGGCAGTATAGAGTCGTAGTCCCATATATAGAAGCCTTGACTCCTGGCTTAGAATTTGAAGATATTATATGCCTGGTTCCCACATTCCACGCAGTCACCTCACGTCCGGCCAAGTCGACTAAGGTGAGCTGGAGTAAGTGAGACGATTTCGAATTCTCTTGGTAGTTAGACGTACTAAACCGAGATGACTCCCTAGGTTGTTTGGCTTGTCGTGGCAGGGGGTACAAATCGATACGCATGGGTTAATAGAGAAGCGATTCCGAACCCGGCACGTAAGATAGTGTTTCTTAAATTCGACTGCGTGCGTCTGCGATAGTCATTGTCCAACCACTAGGACGAAGCGCCAGTCAACTCAGCGCGTGAGGAACAAGAGAATAAATGGTAGAGCGTGACCAAGGACGGTTCAAGAAGTGAGAGCTCACGGCATTCGATGACGCACATCTGCGTTGTCTAACGAGTGCGAGAGGGGTCCTGGCAGTCGGCCCAAACTGCGGTATAATTAGTTGAAGTTTTCCACGAGAAAAGACAAGGGAGACCAGAATTAGGACGTGTGCGCAAAACCCTTTTTCACGACCGTCCACTTGTGTGCACGTGCAGCCCCGTAGAATTTTCCAGAAAGGACCAGGTTTAGAATTACCAATTATGCATCCGAATCCAGTACAGTACTGAGGAGTCTAAACAGTTCCCAGAAACTCGCCCCCGCCCGCAATGCCTTAACCGATCAGACCGAATGTCAAAAACAATAGGCGAGAATGTTAAAGGGTGTAATTGTCAAGGAAAATGCCAGAGAGGTTTCATAAAGTCCGAGGGTGAAGCTCGTTTGAAACAGGACGCCGAACTTTCTCTGAGAGAGTAACATTCTGAGCAGTAAAAGTCTGCGCGGTCAGTTCGTCACTAATCTCGAGTCGTCTGTTAAGTTCAAGTAAAAACGTGGTAATACTTTATAATTTGACCAACATTTGCGTCCATCAGTAAGATACGCGTCGTATAGATTTGTCAAAATTGCGTATCTATTTGTAAAAATGTTTGTGTCGGATAAATCAAAGGTATGTTTAAAGGGTGCGGAAATCAGTGCTTTCAAAATACGAGAATCAAAGTTCGCCTACAATTGAGAAGGAGATCCCGATCGCATTTAAAAGCGACTGCGGACCCACCCATAGCCGCTGAGCCCAAATGCCTGCGG